AAAGTCGAGAAAGGACTTCAAATCGCAAAGTTATTCAAATTCGAGCCAAACTTCAAGGCTTAAAGCTCTTCAAATTCGGCAAAGTCTTCAAGTAAAAGTATGCAAGTCCGCTAGTCTTCAAGTCGAAGTATTCAATCCCTCCAAGTCTTCAAGTCTGTCGGCACTCAATTTAAAGTCCTCAAGTTCACCGGTCTTCAAGTTGAATTATATAATCCCTCCAAATCTTCAAGTATGTTGCTCTTCAAGTTGAATTTTACAAGTTCTCCGCCTTCAAGTTGAAGTCTGCAAGTCCACCAATTTGTATGTTGAAGTATTCAACTTCATGTCTGTCGGTCTTCAATTTGAAGTCCTCAAATTCGCCAGCCTTCAAGTTGAATCATTTAAGCCCTACAAGTCTGTTAATTTTTCAAGTTGAAGTTTACAAGTCCACCGCTCTTCAAGTTGAAGCATCAAAAATCCACCAAATTTTAAAGTCCGTCAAATCTTTGAATTTGTTGGTCTTTAAGTTGAAATCTGCAAAGTATGCCAAGTCTTCAAGTTGAAGTTTTCTAATTTTCCAATCTTAAGGTGGACATTATAGTCCCTTTGCACATTAAGTTGGTATCTTCACGGGGTTGTCCTTAAAAGGAACTATAATTTTTCAATCTTAAGGTGGACGTTGAAGTCCCTTTGCACCTTAAGTTGACCTCTTCGTAGGTTTGTCCTTAAAAGGAACTATAATTTTCCAATCTTAAGGTAGACGTTTAAGTTTCTTTGCACCTTAAGTTGGCCTCTTCATGGATTTGATACTTCGATATGTTGTCATGGATTTGATACTTCTACATGCTGTCATGGATTTGTCCTTCCATATACCGTCATGGATTTGTCCTTCCATATGATGTTGAAGATTTGTCCTTCTATTTACTGCCAAGAATTATTCCTTCTATATGCGTCTAACCTTTTTGACAAAGATATCTCCATTTCCTACAACAACAAAAAGAAGGTAGCAAAAAAATACAAGTACAAGAAAGATGGTTACCTGCCAATGCGTGAGATTCGAAAATTGAGTTCAAAGTATTGCTTAGAATAATCTGGTATGCTTCGGGCCATGATTTCTGGTGAAGATGAACCTCTCTAAGTCTATTACAATCAATTAAAAGGATTTTCAATAACGAAATTCCAACATCGAGATACAAATTTTTTAGTGAAGTCGCAATAATCTAAAACTATTGGTGCGTTAGAATATAGAGCCGACTTCAAAAAAATCTTAAATCTTCTAGAATGATACTGAAAGTGTTTAATTCTGAATTTTGGATACGTTGTAGATCGTGAACTAGTTTCTGATAAATCAAATGGTTTGTGATTCCGATGTTCCTACATCAAGATATAAAGTTTTTTGTAAAGTCGCACAAATCTGAAAATATCAGCATGACATAAATTAAGGCTAACTTCGAAAAATCACCTATGGTGATCCACAAAGATTCTAATTCTAAATTTCGGATATGTTCTATAACTAAAATTCTAGCCTCTATAGAATCAAACAGACCGTGATTTAGACTTTTCTATAGCAAGATATTGATTTTATACCACAAGATGTGCTGGTTGTAAAAGGGTGCACCTTCAAGGCAAGAACTTCAACATGCGGATTTTGCTCGTCGTCCACGATCTCAAGGCGAGGGCTGCGGCTTATAACAGTCATGAAAGTGCATCTAGTTTACGAAGAATCAAGGTCTTAAACGTTTCGTTCGAGAATCTGCAAAAAAAAGAAGGAATTAAAGGAGAAGTAAAAAATCATGAAACATGTTCAAAGCCAAAACAGTGAATTCAGATTTTGCGGTTAAGTGTAAAGAATCACAGAGACCAGAAAAAGGCGATTTAAGGATCAATCTTTGGCTTAGAAATAGATTCTGAAGTATAGTCCGTGGAGGATCAATAAATTCTTGATTTGGAGCTTCATACGTCGAGATAGCAATTTGGGGGGCGCGCACAAATCTGCCAATGCAATATATCAGGATCTCAAGTCTGCACTCAGAATATTACCCGGACAAATATATGAGCTATCTGATAGTGATTTTTGGACAAATTGAAGCTCTTTGAGTTTGCATTCCAGCGCAACGAACTGTTTAGGATTTAGACACTCCTGCAACAAGTTAGGAGTTTTCTCTTGCAAGTGCTCCAAGCTACCAGGAAAGTTCTGTGGCAAAGACAATAAGGAAAGAAGAACGTTAGCTGCTAGCTTTGCTTAATCTGGAGTATAATAAACTATACAGTCTCATACCAATGCCTCATCAAGGAAGTAGATATGCCAAGTGTTCCTCGCAACAGCCGAGGAGAGTGATGCAACAAATTTTGCCAAAGTGAAGGATAAGACCCTCCATGTAGTTCTTCACCAATCAGCAATGGACGGACTTGTAAGGCTTCTCTTGTTGCTCGATACTTCAAGATGTATATGTGATTGTGACTCCTTCTGCACCTTCTAAGTCTAATATCAAGACCTTTTGTTCTCCTTCATGAATCTGTAAAAAAAATATAGGAGGAACGGTGCTGACAACAGAACGCTTCCAGCCTGCATGGTAAAAATTGTGATGTATGCTTCAACTCGTCATAACGAATATGGATGGCTTAAAGTTTTGAGTCCCCTAATTTGGATGTTGAAGAGAAGTATCTATCAATGCAGAATCAGTATGCGGTTCGTGGATTGCTTCTGATTATCCTTCAAATTTGCCAATTTAAACGACTTGCAAACTATAGGGTGCACAATGTACCGTACACCTCAACTCATCATCGTGATCAATATCAGGTGCCAGCATTGCGAAGGTTAGAGCTCTCTCTAATTTGGATGCTAAACAGAAGTGCACAACATTACATACGGAACAACTCCATTGCAATTAAATTTGTCCTCGGTATCTCTAGCGTTCTTCTTTCATCTTTATCGTCGTTAACAAATCTGATTTATAGTGATTTCAAGCTTATATATCATGGTCAAGCTAGTGTCATGTACTTCTATGAATAACAAAGGACAACGAAGGAAAAGACACGACCTGGAGAACTAAAATATAGGAGAAACAAATTTGGCAATTCAAAGAAAAGTACCTGCAACGTCCATCCAAAGTTGTGCTAGGTCCAACCAGTGCATCATCTTCTTCTATGCATATTTTTTGATGTACCGATCCACATATCTCCTGTTAAAACAAAGAACAGTGTGAGTGGAAGATGTAGGTATTTTTTTTTAAATTTCAAACCATCAAACCAAGTTGTGTTCTTGATTCGGTGAGGGGTTTGGCAGGACCCTTACCTTGTTTATTGATAAATAAGGAGGGGGACATAAAACCAAAACCTCCAGAGGACACCAAAAGGACTCGATACATTATGATTACAGTATTGCATAAGACAATGCTATAAATAATAACAGGTCGGGGGAAGGGGAAGATTCTCTTCAAAGATTTGACCTCCCCTCGAGAGTTGTTTAAGGAGGATCATAATGCCATCCTGAGTGATTGCCCTTTTTGACTCTGAAGGAGGCCAACTGTAATCTATCCATTCATAGAGGCCTTATTGAATTCTCTGGTAAGTCCTCCTTCATGAGAAAGATTCTCAAAATGCCCGATGTTATAGCCAACTTTGCAGGAGAGTCGGCTACCGCATTAGCTTCCCTATAACAGTGTTTTATGTGGAAGCGTCTTTCAAGCATATTCTTTTGCACCTCCTCCACAGCTCTTCAAATCTTCCATGGTGGTTTAACCCGGTCCTTGGATATCTTCACAGCCACTTGTGAATCCATCTCTAGCGTGAGTTGTGGAGGTTGTTGTTGGTAGCACCAATTAATTCCATAGATACAGTTCACAAAGAATGTTAGTTGAGAATTGCACTGGTTTGGCAAAAGCCATAATCAAGTCCCCATTTTCCTTTCTAATAATTCCCCATATTCCTGCTTGCCAGCTAGTGGCTACAAAACTTCCATCGGTGTTAATCTTCCATGTATCCCCTTAAGGCATTTCCCAGCACGCCAGAACACTAGTTTTCTTGGGTTTATAAGTTTCTGCTAAGTAGCAGATATTTATCCAGCTCCAGTTGTATTCTACTCTTCTATAGCATTTAGAAATATTAACCTGCACATTAAAGAGAACATGATTAGCAATCCTAAATAAAGTAGTGGACTTGTTATTATATTTCTTTGCACATCGTGCTTTCCAGAGTTCCCACATGATGTAACAAGGGGTGATATTGAGTAATAATTTGTGAAGTGCATTCTTTGGTCTTGTTTGCCACCAGCAGTCCAAGACCCCTTTAACCGTAGTCCCTCCGTACGCATTCCAAACTTTGGAGGCCATGTAGCTAGTAGAGAAGACATGGTCCATAGTTTAAGGATATGCATTTCTGCAGCATGTACAACTGGAAGTCGTTTGAATGCCGAACTTGAGAATAATGTCATCCAGAGGTAACTTCTTCCTGAGAAGTTTCCACATGAAGAAGGAAACCTTGAAAGGGATACCTTTCCCCCAAATATGAGCAGCCATTAGATCCTTAGTTTGTCTTTGTCTAAGCTTGTCAAAGGCTGAAGAGCATGAGAAATTGCCAGTGTTCTCCAGTGACCATATACCAGTGTCCACATTTTCTTTGTCCCCAATTTCTATTTGTGCAATATCTTGAACAATCGTGTTAGGTATAAAGGTGCTAAGGTTGGGGATATCCCACTGACTGTCGAGAATATAGTTTTTAACCATGATACTCCTTGGTTTTCTGGAGAATTGTAACCTCTGAGCAATGGGGCCTTCACTAGACCAATTGCCCCACCAAAAGAAAATGTTACTAACATTTGTTTCCCATTTGATATACTGCTCCACGTGAGGTCTGATTTGAAGTAAGTTTCTCCACATATTGTAGTTTCTGGAAGCAATGACTTTAGCCACCATGTTGGTTCTCAGGATATATATAGCTCTGATGAACTTAGACCACAAGTTATTGATGGTTCTATGTCTCCACCATCATTTTGCTGTGAAGGTATTGCAGATATCTTTGAGTCATTTGAAACCTAGGCCCCCTTCCTCAATAGGATAACACATATTCCTCCAAAAGCACCAGCGGTATTTACTCTTCCCCTCGTTCATTCCCCGGAAAAAGTTGGAGAAGTACTTCTGTATCTGTAATAGGATGGACATAGGAGGTTCCATGGCTGCAAAGAGGTGAAGAGTCTGTGACGAGAGAATGTGCTTAATGATCAGAGCTTTGCCTCCAGTTGTGAGAATCTTGCTTTGCCAAGCACCTGCTTTAGAAACCACTTTAGTAGCCAGATCAGTGAAAAGATTGATCCTTTTCCTGCCTGTATAGATAGGACTGTCCAGGTAGGTGAAAGGAATGTTAGATTGCTCATAGTTATTCCATTTCTTAATCCTTGGATCAAGATAATGGTATGTGATGAAACAACTTTTCTCCTTGTTCACTTCCTGCCTAGAGGCATGTTGGTAGCTTTCGTTCTTCCTCATTACTAGCTTGATGGACTATCTTCTGATGGAGGAGAATAGGACCACATCATCGGCATAACATAGGTGATTGATTTGTGGACCCTTCGCATTCATGTTGGAACCTTTGAAATTGTTATTGGAATGAAGATGATTTAGAGACTTTGAGAGAGCCTCGTCAGCAAGAATGAAAAGGTCAGGGGAATGAGAACCAAGCAAGCATGTGTGCAGTATCTAGTGAAATTAGCTCTATTAAAGCCATAGGGTCCAACTGAGCTATTACGATCCATAGAAAATATAGCTAATTTAACTTCTTCTTCAGAGGGACATTCCTGAAGCATATCATTGTGCTGGTTAGTGACTCTACCTAGTATCCGAGGATACTCATATCACTACTAACATCAGGTTGAGAGAATAAGTTGCTAAAGTGATCAATGGCAGCCTATGCAATGTTATTAGAATCAACCGTCCAATTGCCCCTGGAGTCCTTAATTCTGATAATTTGAGCTCTTCTTCTCCTTCCCTTAACAATGTTGTAGAAGTATTTTGAATTGGTGTCACCTTCCTCTGCCCATTTCACCCTAGCTTTCTGCCTCAAAATGGATTCCTGAGTCTTAAGCCACCTTATATAGTTCGCTTGAGCTTTGTCTAGATCCATCTTGTTGAGATTTGAGTCATCTATTTCACATTCCTCTTCCTTAATTTTAACAGTTTCCTCCATATGTTTGACTGTTTCAAAGACATCTCCAATTGTATCCCTAGAGCACTTGCTAAGAGTGTGAGCAAGGTTCTTGATTTGCTCTATAGTCTCCACATGGGGTTTCCCTGAATATCCTCCTCCCAGCATGTTTTCACAATGTCATGGTACCCATCCAGATCAGACCAAAAGTTTAAGTATCTGAAATACTTAATAAAATTCATGTTGTCGGAAGTGTTCTGGAAGAGAATCATATTGTGATCTGATCCTGTTTTGGGAAATGATTGACTCTAGAGTACGAGAGCTTGTCAAATCATTCATGGTTGGTGATGACCCTATCAAGACTTTTGCTGATCCTTTTCCTTCTCTTTCCACTATTACACCATATGAAGGTGTTGCCAGTGAAGTTGGTGTCAAATAAATTACAATCGTCCATACAATTAATAAAATCAATACTCTTAGAAAGGGTATGAGGACGATCTCCCTTCTTTTCATCAGGAGATACAATCACATTAAAGTCCCCGCCTACCGTCCAAGGACCATCTATCAGAGTATGCATTCTCTTAAGTTGCCTCCAGAGTCTTTTTCTTCTGCTAGCATTGGTCTTTGCGTAAGCAATAGTAAACCAAAAGTAGTCTGAATGACCAACTTGGTTAGCCTTGAAGGTCATTTGTTGTTTGTGTTAATATATGAGGGTGCAGTTGAGAGTGGGATTCCAAAAACACCAAATTTTGCTATCGTTATTTTCCATAGAATTGTTGAAACCAAGCTGTACTCTGAATTCCTCAATCCGAGAAGGTTCTAGAAAAGGTTCTTGTAATGCGATGAAGTTGACTTTGTGGAGTCTGACAAGTTTCAATAGTCTGTCAAAAGCTCCTTTGGGTCTCATACCCCTAATATTCCAAATGATGGCTTTAAACATTGGATTTAAGGGGTGGTGTGGTTTTATCTTGATGTTTAGTGTGTAGAAGACCAGCTTGACTGATCTGCCCGGCATGTCTTACTTTCTTTTGTTTTTCAGTTTTGTTCCCGTTGGGGATAGGCCCTATTTAGTAGTTATGTTATCTAGCTCCTCTGAAATAGGATCTGGAGGTTCTGATAAAGCTGAAACTGCTCCAACTTGCTTACCAATATCCTCCTCTTCAGAAGATATATCTTCTACATTGTCGATTTCCACCAAAGTTCCTTGAGTGTCTAAAGAGTTTGTCTGTACCAGTTTGATCGGGCCAAGGTCCATGACCAGTTCACCACTCTTAACTTGTATCTTCCTGAACTTCATGCATTGTTTCATTTCTGTTTCTAGTATTCCCAACTCCCTGGTTGATGTTGTTGCTAGAGCTAGGTTTGTCTGCCTTTTCATTCTAATTTTGAGCTTTAGTTTGATCATGATCTGGCTTATGCAAAATAGGCTTCTCAAGATCCCCTTCAATTCCTTTAAGCACCTTATCAATGTCATTATACATCATCTTATTTTTCCTCTTAGGCCACAGCTTGTTCCTAACTTGAAGGTGTTTGGTAGTAGACTTTTTCTTATTCTTTTTTGGACCCTTGTTGATGGCTTTGTCCTCCTGTTCTTGGGTAGAAGACTTAGGCTTATCAAGTGGATGAGGACTGGCTTGTTTTTCGTTGTTATTCTTTCCTGTTAGCCTGGTAGGATCTTCTTTCTTTTGAGGCTCTGCCAACATCTTTGTGTCTTTACTATGATCACCCATATGCTTTGCTTGCTTTTTTTTTGGAGTTGTGAGCATTGCTTCCTTGTGTCTTTGGTGAACTAGTGCCCTCTTAGGACTGAGTCTTACTGCTCAATTGAATGAGGAGTTGTCTACCTTGTCTTCATAATTTTTGGTTTTGCCAATAGTTTTGTTATCATCATCCTTTTGTTTAGTGTCATGTTGATTATGATTCACTAACTCATGTTGCTCGCATTCCTTCTCTTTTTCCTTCTCTTTTTCTTTATCCTTCTCCTTTTCAATAGCCCTGCATTATACTATGGAGTGACCTAGCAGTTTACAGTGTTTACAATACTTTGGAACCCCCTCATACTCAAGCTTCTGAGTAAATCCCTTGAGAGGTTTGTCTCTTCCTCCATCCCCACGCAGACAGAATTCAGAAATGGTTTGGTTAGGTCCACTTCCACTTGTACCTTGGCCATGCTCGGTCTGGTTCTATAATCAGTGGCGATATCCATCGATAGAGGAATGCCCACCTGACCCAGAACTTTTTTCACATAATGCGAAGTATGGCAATGGAATGGGACCAGACAGGAATAATTGAAGAGTCCTCTTCTGGTTTAAAATCCGGTGACCATTTTTGTAACCACATAACTAATCGATCGATTTCAATTGAGCGTTTAAACCAAACAGTTTTGGAATCCTCTTTGTTGATACCCAATTTTTTCCTCATATTGTTTCAAAATATATATATCTACTTTCAAAACATCACTTTTCGCATTATATTTAGTTTACAAATTTATACAAGAATTTTCTATAATTTTTAAAGCTTTTAAATTGATTTTCCTGCATTTAAATAACATGAATAATTATTAATTACTCCTTCAAATTACTTTGTGGTGACTTAATCATCTAAAATTACTATTTTTGCATCTTTATATATGTTCATAATATTTTTTACTTTATTTCGTATAACTATGTTTGCATTTTTAAGCTATTTACCTAATTTTGCAATAATAGCCTATATTCATATATAATTGCTTTTATCTATATTATATGGGTCAAAATAGCCTTCTATATTTTTATAGTGCTTAGCTTATTTATAATCATTTAGTGCATAAAAATTATTTTTTACTCATTTACTAATTATTTTATAAATTATTTTGCTATATTGTATGTTTTTGAAAGGGCAGACCCAATTTGAGTGATTTTTCGGACCAAATTGGCCCAACACCTTAGCCCAGAACCCTAGCCCAAAGCCAAACGACCCCTGTCTAATACCCGGTCGGTACCCGTTTTATTTAACCCGCCCCGTTCATTTTTGAATCCTAGCCGTTGATCTTTCAAGATCAACAACCCTCATTTTTTCCTGTTTTAATACCTCAAAACCTTAGAGACGATAGTCTTCGCCTAGCCTCCTCTGTATCCTCTCTTCTCTTCACTTTCACGAACCCTAGCCCCCTCCCCTTAATCCCACTCCAAATCCCGCTGATAATGGGATTCGATTACTATTCTCTTGTCATATTTGAAACCTTTTGGTACTGGTTGTCCGTTTTTTGTGTTACCTAGGTGCTTGCAAAAACATGGCAAGCAATATCTTCTGAATTTGAACCAAAGTGGTACGAATCTTTGATTTTGAGCATTATTTCGTCTACACACGTTCAATACCATATTATGTGAGTCCAATTTCATTCAGATCTCTGTTGATTAACACATTCCCTAAAAAAACTAGTTTTTACCCGATTTCTCTCTTAAATTGATTTTGAAATTATTTTGCATGCTTTCTTTCCTTATTTGTTGTTTGATTTACTTTGTTTGCTTGTGTGTTCGTTCAATTTTTACTGCTATATAAACCCTTCTCCATTCCCTTTTAAGAAAAGACCGGAATCGATATAATCTCACTAAAAACTTGAGGCTTTGCTCTATGAATTCTTTTATTATCTTGTTCTTTGTTTTGTGGTGGCTGGCTGAAAGCCAAGGCCACTGAGAATCTACTGTTCGCACTCTTCTGGGTGCAAGCATTGCCCGGGGTTCCTTTGAAGCTCTTCGGAACTTTGACGCATCGAGATTTCTGGGTTCTTGTGGATCTTTTGCTCTTATTTGTTGTCCGTTTAATTGGTAAGCTACTTGACTTTGTAATTTCGTCCCTATATGTCTTTGATTTTCATGTATTCTCGCCTCTGAAATCCTTGGCATAATATGGCTTCTAGATTGCTTTTGTACGCGATTTTGTTAATTCTTCCTTGTTTTAAGTCTTTTAGCATCTAACTTCTTCCTAATGCTGCTAGTTCTGAGTTTGCCTAAGCCTAACTTGGATAATCTGATCCTCTTAAGTTCGTTTAACCAGTGTATTGGTGTTTGGATATTTCATAAAACATGCTTACTTGGTTTGTCCTTAATATATATAGCGAATGCTTCATACTTGTGCTAGGACCTCCTATGTTAATTGTGACATATTCCCCTGCTATTGTGTCACTCAATATGATTCCCCATACCCATTAGTGATTGATTGAGATCTTAGCAGCTACCTCAACCTGTTTTCCGTGCCCTGTTTTACCATTTTGTTTTATGGCATAACTTAGACCTTCTTTAGCTAATTAATCTATTGTGACAATCCCAGAATACCTACATGTGCTCACTGCCCAAAATCTCTTTAA